TCATAGACACATGTCCTACCTCAGTCTTTCTGCAGAGGCAGTGAATATGTGCTGGAGACAACCAAGCCCTTACGGGTACCCCTCAAGCAGTTATTATTATTATTATTATTATTATTATTATTATTTTGAGACCAAGTTTCACTCTTGTTGCCTAGGCTGGAGTGTAATGGTGTGATCTCTGCTCACTGCAACCTCTGCCACCCAGGTTCAAGCAGTTCCCTGCCTCAGCCTCCTGAGTAGCTGGGATTACAGGCATGTGCCACCATGTCCAGCTAATTTTGTATTTTTAGTAAAGAAGGGGTTTATCTATGTTGATCATGCTGGTCTTAAACTCCTGACTTCAGGTGATTGACCCGCCTTGGCCTCCCAAAGTGCTGGGATTATAGGCATGAGCCACCACGCCCGGCCCCAGTCATTTTTGTTTTTAAAAGAAGCCATCTCCATAATTTTTCATCCAGATGTCTCAAGGCAGTAGTTGTGGGGAGTCCCATACCAGGTCTAGAAGACCTTTGGAAAGCAAAGATAGAAAAGGCAGATGGTGCCCAAGGGCATTTACAGGGATTGTGAGTTGCAATCTGAGCTATTTTATGAGCTCAGGGGTCAAGCTAGGGCATCAACTTTTATCAACTTGAACTCCTTCAGTACCTTTACAGTGTTTATTGTCCATTAATCCATATAATGCTTGTTTTTTTGGCTCTAATGACTTGTGAGCATGTGTTCATGTATGTCTTGTCTTTGCAACTGAATAAATTAGTTGGTATTAATCAGGTTAGCAAATATTTTGAAATCAGCTATACTAGTGTTCAAATCCCAGCTCTGCATCTACTATCAATTTCAGAGAATTTGACTGCTAGAACCTGACTGAGTTAGGACAGAATCCTCACTCTTCCTTTTAGTGGCTGGATGACCTTGAGTAAGTTATACACTACTTGTCATCTTCAATTTCTCCATCTATAAAATGGAGCTAAACATATTGACTCATAAAACAGATTATCAGATTTAAAAAAGAAATGTAAGTACATATTTTAAAAAGAAATTATCAACAATCAGATCTCAGTGATGTTAGTTTCCTGCCAGTAACTACCTAATTAGCCTGACTCTCCTTCCATTTAACCCATTACTTGTGGGTAAACAAAGAATAACTATGGCATGATGAAAAGAATAGGCGGACTGAGAATCAGAAGAAATGGATTCAAGTCCACACTCTGCCTCATTTTAGCAACCTGGCTCAGACAAACCACTTGAGGGTTATATGAATAAGTCATGTATCCTGGACAATTCAAGTAATATCTTTGAACTTAAGTTGTAATGTACACTTGCCTCTCTTCATCATTATATTTGAAAATCTACTGAAGACTAGGTTCAGTGTCTTTTTAACTTTTAGCCAAGTATTTAAACACACAAAGGCACAAAAGATGATGAGACACTTAAAGAATGCTTTTCTAATGAAGGCGTTGTTCAAGATCACATTCAATAAATAGTAGAACTGGTTCTAAAACATAGGCTGTCTTTATGCATAAACTCATGTTGTGTGGCAGAAGGGGCAATAGGCCTTATATTATATGCATAACAATTAGAATTGGAAACATTAATCTAGTCTGGTGACACTAGCAAGGATCATAGAAATCTGTTTCTAAGATGACATACTCAGGTGGTAACTATCTGCTGGTTAAGAGTGGATTAGGAAGGTATGGTGAGCAAAGTTTAAAAAGTAGTGGTTCCCAAATTTTGCTATATATCCAAATTGCCCATGAATCCATAAAATTATCTGATCTGTGGCTCCCACATTTTGAGTTCATTGATATGGTCTGTGCCCAGGTCATCACAGGTTTTTAAATCTCCTCCAGCAATTCAACTATATAACAAAGTTTGGCAACCACTAGGTTAAAGTAAAATAAGACTTTCATGACCTCATTCACATTGATACCCATCCCTGATGTGTATTCCCTCTGCTACTGTCCTTAAGTAGAAATCTGAGATAGGAGTACCCAAATGAAATCTTCCCCCAAAGTTTTCACATTACAGCACATTACCCCCTGGAACACAGAGCATGAACCCTCCTGACTCCCCCTCCCAACCTCCCTTCTCCCCTTGTGACCTTCTCTTCCTCACTGGCTTTGAAGTCTGCCTTTTTCCTCTCTAGTCCCACTGCAGGTATCCTAGCAAAGACCCTTGAGCCAACCTTGCAGGGTTAGGATACAAGCCTTTTACAGGACTTGTCACCCCAGAGGTGTCTGGGTTCAGAACTGTAGGTTTCAGATTTCTTTTCCTTTGCACCATCCATATGAATCAATTATTTCTAGGATGTATATTCTTCCAACTGCTCTACTGGTTCCTGAACTTCACCATCCTAAAGTTAGTTCACAGTGTAGGGGAAAAAAATTGCCAAAAGACTTGACATAGAATCTTAGTTTTACATGACCCTACATTGGCTCCCGAGAATTATCTCTATAGGTCAAAACCCTATCTACACAGTCAAATGTAGCACAAATGCCAAGTCTCCTTAGGAAATCTCTACTAATCTCTCTCAATCAGATGCGACTTCTTAATTTGAACCCCCATAAAACTTGACTAGTGTAGCTGCAGCATAAATTAGCATTAATTCAGTTCAAAGGTATTATATTCAAGAATTCTTGGATTAAATTCCAGCCACACCCCTTACTAATTCACTTTGAGTGAATTGCTTAACTTTTCCGAGGCAAAGTTCTGTTATTAACAAAAGTTTCTTTGCAGATTAGGATTAGATATACTTATGTAAGCCATCTAGTCGAGTGCCTGAAACATACTAGACATGTGACGAACAATAGCTGCTGTTTCTTATGGGGCCTGATCATATTTTGCCTTACAGTCTGATTATTTTAAAATTTCATTAAATACGTTTTGAACACATATTTAATTATCTGTAGGTGTATTCAGTTAAGAGACATTCATTGATCAATTTATTTAAATAAGAAAATATTTAACAGTGACCTTGTTATATTTAATTGTCTGTCATCAGTAACATTCTCCTAGATTGTGGGAAAGGAAAAGGAATATATATATGAACTCCACAAGACTACCATTCAAAATATACTTTTTATTTTTTTTCTTTTTGAGAAGGAGACTTGCTCTGTTGCCCTGGCTGGAGTACAGTGGCGCAATCTCAGCTCACTACAATACAACCTCTACCTCCTGAGGTCAAGCGATTCTCCTGCCTCAGCCTCCCGAGTAGCTGGGATAATTACTAACACACCCGGCTAATTTTTGTATTTTTAGTAGAGACAGGGTTTCACCATGTTGGCCAGCCTGGTCTCACACTCCTGACCTCAGGTGGTCTTCCCTCCTTGGGCAGATCAAAGTGCTGGGATTACAGGCGTAAGAAAAATACACTTAAATAATATAAGGCTATATGCAGTAGGATAATACTCTACACCGATTGCTGCTAGAGCGGAAAGGATAAAACACCAAGTTGGGATGATGGAAATGAGTTTTCTCTACAGGTAGCTGTCCCCCAGCTCAGTTGACATACCGGCTGCCACCAACTCTGTCACTGCAGCCTCTTAAAGGAACACAGCCTAGGTTGGCATGGATAAAAAGAAGAACCCAGATCACATTTTGAGACACAGGGGTTATGCTCTGTCCTCCCATTACTTTAACTCGGGGATCACATTTCATACAAGAGCCAGGAAGCTAACGATGTAACAAACTGCTTGTTCTTACACTTTTAAAGTAACTGTGCAATATAACTTGGAAAAAGGGTATGTCTACCTTGATCCATAGACAAAGGACTCTCCCCACAGTGCCAACAACAGGAAATAAATGAACCAGTGACAGGTGTTTAAAAATTCAAGGAAAAAAAAAATTAAAACGTCTTACCTGGTAAGGAAATCATGTGTGGGAAAGTATTTATAAAAATCAATACTATGGGGCTATATTCTATAGACCTAACAAAAATGACTGGTTCCAAACTAACTTACTTTCTAGTAACAGTGTCTTACTCATTTGTTGCACAATTCCTATTTTCCGGAAGGTAGCTGACTAAATCCTTGCTTTGTGGAGAGTGACATTAGAATTTAATGCTAGTCACTGATTTGTTAAGTCCTTGAATTTTTATAAACTGCATAACTTTCTTTGATAAATTTTTTGACTCCAGCTACAGTACAAGCAACTCAGGTAATACCCATTTGTCAGTATGTCTACAATATATTTTTCTATTTATCCGACTCAGGTGATAGCTAAGAAAAAAAGAAATAGGAGGGATGATACTCTAGTTACAATATTTTATTCTACAAATGTCCACTTAGAAATCAGAATTATCTGTCTCAGAACTGGAAACACATACAAGACATAATATATAAACACAATGGGTACTTTGAACTGTTAAATTGTCATTGAAAATGTAAAAGAATAGCCAAACTCTCAGGGAAACTTTTGGTGGAGTGTGATGGGTGCTCAAAAACCAGTACCTCAGCTGTACTGTGATCTTATTAAGCTCTAGAAAAATGTGGTGAAAACTAATTTAATGCATGAATCAACTTGCACACATTGGAAGGAAATAAAAATTTAGAATTTAAAAGTTCTTTTCAATTCAATAGTCGTATAAGCATAAAACTTAAACTTGTATCTACAACGAATTCGATGGACTTAGATCTATAGAAATACACATTTTAATTTTAAACCTAGTATCGTGAATGTAAATATGTGTTGACCGTTAAAAACTATATTCTTAAAATAATGTTTTTTAAAAAATAATAACCTGATTTAGTCCAAAGGTACTTATCATATGCCTTAACCGCAGTGAGAAATCTGAGCCAAAGCCTTGGAATGTACAATGAGTTGTCTCCCTCTTAGCAGTGGCCTCACTCCTTCAGCAAAGCCCAACTACCAACTTGCTTCGCTTTATTCTAACATTGAGCTGACGGACTATATATATCAGGCCGCCACTTGGGGGAAGCCCTTTGTGGCCAATCAGGGCTTCCGTATCTATTGCGTCACACCTCCCCCCTGGGTGTGACGTCAAAGGCAATCCCAGCGCAGACACGTGGGTTGGAGCAGCCTAGCGTTTCTGGGCAATTGCTCCCGAGATCCAACAGGCAGCAACGGTCCCAAGGGTGAGGAAGTGGATAGGGGAGGGGCTGACGGGGCTTCTACACGTTTAGCTCGTTTACCCCAGAGGCGCGCGGTGTCCCTGAGTCCAAGCACTCGGCGCGGACGTTTGGGGGCTGGAGAGAGAGGTGCTGGGGGAAACTGGCACCCAAGGCTGTGTAATAGGACCCGGGTCTTGCAAGCGCTCGTCCCCAGGCACCGCCCCTGTGCTCCCAGCGCCTCTTTGCAGCCTCAATTATCCTTTCAGCGCCGTTCTCCCGCGGCTGCGTTTCCATGGCCAGAGGAAAAGGGCTTTCTCGCCTCGCGGCTCTCACCCTCACACAGACCCTTCTTTCAGACCCGCCCTCCTGTTCACAGGGACCCATTTCCGAGCCCTGGCTCACGCTGGGCGGGAACAGGCGTGACGAATTCCGCCCAAGGTGTTGATTATCCATCCAAACCCAACCTCTGGCTTCCCTCCCACCTCCTCCCCAGCTCCCGCGGGCCCCTCGCCTCCTTCCCGGGCTGGGCGCTCGAGACGGCGCCCCCAGATCTGCCACCGGGCAGTGTCCCCAGCTGCAGCTGAGGAGAGAAGCGCCGGCGTGCGCGGTGCCACGTCGGAATTGGCTCTGGGGACGTTGCAGCTGCTGAAGCGCTGCACGCGGTCCCTTAGCACGCCCTGCCCCCGGGCGGCCGGCGGACCGGCCCTGCGCGGAGAGGAGGGATGCGCGCCCTCCTTCTATTCCCAGATGCGAGTGTCACCGCCTGCATCAGGGACCCCGGCCCGAGTAAGACTTCCGGAGCCGAGCCGAGCCCAGGCTTACAAGCCTGACACTTTAATGGGGTGCGGGAAGTGTAAAGGAGAGGAGGCCCGGGAAAGGGGGGAGTGGCCGAGAGGGGCCGGTAGCTGCGAGGAGGTAGAGAAGGACCCTCCTTCTCCAGGGTCCCAGCTAGCCGGAGCTGGAAGCCCAGATTGCTTAACTCTTTGCATTCCCAGCAAGTTTCTCACAAGTAAAACGCGCTGGGCTATTGCAGCTTTTCTCCCCCACAGAGTGTGTGTGTGTTGGGGGGGGCGCAGGGAGGGAAGAAGGGAAGGGGTGGGGGCGGCTGTGCAGAATGCATTTTCCTTGCACATTGGAAATTCTGTTTCCTAACTCAGGAGCCCCTCTGCTGCTCCGGAAGATGCAAAATGGAAAAGTCCATCTGGGGACGTGCCTCCTTCCCCAGGCAGAGAGGTTACCTGTGTCTCCAGAAAAACAGCGGATTTCTGGCGAGAGCCACAGAGATGGGAAAAGAGGGCTCTGTTGCTAAACCTGACAATGACCTGAAATATTCCCTGATCTTCAGTCTTGGAAATTTTTAAAACTCCAAATTTTCCAAAAATTTCAAAACACTTATATGGATAATTTCTTCCTTCCCCCTGGCCTATTTGAGGACCTTCATCGTTCACCAAACCGCGCCAGTGTAACGTACCTTGTTCAGCTCTTGGTCATAAAGTCGTCCTCAGCCTATCTGTGTGGTCCCGGAGGGTCGGTGGCGGGCAGTTTCCAAAATTGAGGTAATAAGAGATTAGATGAATTTGAGACGACCGGCCAAAAAAAATAAGAAATTTAAAAGCAACATTTAAACAGGATAGGGAAGTCTTAAATGTTTGATTCTCCCCCACTTTAAAAAGTAATTTCACTAATATTCTCTTTTTTTTTCTCGTTGCACTTCAGTCTTCTAATTCTTAAAAAAATTATGCTTTAAAAATAAATTAACTTTCTTTCTTTCTTTCTTCTTCTTTTTTTTTCGCCTCAGTCCTTCTCCTCCCGATAACAGAAAATCTCTTTCTCGTCTTAAAAAAAAAATAAAAAAAAAAAAAAAAAAAAGCCTGCGGGAGACTCAGCAGAACCCAGGAAGCGCAGAATCGGGAGAAAAGTCTTTGGCTGGGGCTGTTTCAAGTCCCTGGTTCAATGGGCTGCTCGAAGCCAGGACTGGGTAATTCTTTCCAGACGTCTTGACTTCTTCCTCGCCGTTGTTGCCTTTCTGCCTCCTGCAACTTAAGGGGGTCTTAACAAGTGAGCTGGTGGGTGTTTTAATAGGGCGGCGGAGGGAGTGGGGGGGTGAGGGAAGTGGAGAGGGAGGTGTGGACTGGGGAACCCTGAGGGGAGGGAACTGGGAGCGCGGGCAGGCGGGCGGGCGGGAGGCGGGGAGGGGGAGAGGGAGAGGGAGAGAGAAATTGGCCATTCAAAGCCTTCTCTGAGCTAGAGGCCGGCTCTAAACTCCAATGAATTCAATTAACTTGATTGCTAACGTGTGTAGAGAAATGCAAGCCACATAGGGGGTCACCACCTGATTCCTGGCTCTCTTCTGGCGGCGAAGGTGGGAGCCCTTGCCTTGTGGACTTCCCTGAACCCCCGCGTTACACGTTCCCTCTGAGCGATAAACTCCCTGTTGTGCTTAAGTAATTTGTTTTAAAGCCAAATGGTGCCCTTCGGCTAAGTAACCGCCTCGAGGAGGAATAGTTGGGAGGGGTGTGTGCACGTGTGTGTGTGTGTAAGTGTGCGCGTGTGTGTGTACCTGGAGCCTTCGACAGCCGGCTGGGACTCTAAAAAGACCGCGCCGCTCCACCACTTGTTAACCCTTTCCTCCCGCCAACTCAAAAGTTTCTGAGCTGACGTCAAGTGTCAAAGCCTTTCTCCTAAAGAGGTTTCTGCCATGGGTGGGCGGAAAAAATAGAAAAATGATTATATATGTATTTTTGCTCAACCTGGTCCCCTAACATAAAAATACTTAAACAGCGCGCATTGAAAATAATACAAATTGTTTTCTGGAGGGCTGATATTTAGCCATCTCTAAGGAAATGACATAAGTAGCTTTTGCTTCTTGCAAACTTTCTTCTGCAAAGTTAACGGGTAAAAATATGTCTTGCTTGGAGATGGCCTTTTCTGGTCGTTTTTTTACAATTGTCCCAAGGCTGGGTAGAGTTCGTTTTTTGGCTGGTTCCTCACCTCCTCATCATCCGCCCCCTTTCTTTCTCTTGGTCCTTGTCAGCAAGTCTTCTGATGACTTAAAAATGAACAGTAGGTGGCACTGTTTAGAAAAAAATGAATTTACAAATTAACCAACTTGGTCTTTGGAGATTGTGCTTGAAATTGTTATAGGGTAAAACAGATTTTCTTTCTTTCTTCCTTTCCTTTTTCCTTTCCTTTCCTTTCCTTTCCTTTCCTCCCCTTCCAAGGATCCTCTGAGGGGTGGGTTTCTTTGGCACTCGACAGGACCTTGAAGACTGGGTATATTTGGGCTATAGTGAACAAGTCGACACAGAAAAGTCGAATAAACTGGAAACGATGCTTTCAACACATCGCACAAGGTGTAGTGTTGGGGGATGTGATTAGAGGTCAAACATTTTACTGCAATACCACGGAGTCAGCCATCCTAGTCCCCAGGGGCCGACCTGCAAAATACTGTGTGTTTCCGCAACCCCTCCCCACCTCCACACACAGCGGTTACCCCTCTGGGAAGCATTACCTTGGCCTGATGACTTCATGCTGCTCAGGGGAAACTCACTGATTTCCCCCAGCAAACCTTCTCGCCTCAGCCTTTGTTTGAACTCTGCCTTAGGTGGGTCAACTCTTCAAAAGACTGGCTTAAATTTCAGAGCACCATTTCATCCCACTTAATCAGACTCGATCTTCCTGATTCGGTAGTTTTTCGGTAGTTTTCAAATGCTAAATTATAATTTTAAATATGTTACCTAACTTCTGCACTCTGACATATAACATGGATTAGACTGATTTAGAGGTAGAGTGGAAATTGTGGGGTGCCAAGTGTCTAGCTGTGAGGGCCCAAGGGGACACTTAACCTTCCAGCTCTAAACTTTCAGGGATATGATATGTAATACAGGAATACCTATTATTGCTTACTAGCATTTAACTGTGCCTGTGCTAATAGTTCAAGCAAGAAGCACATTTAGTAAAACTAGTTTATTATAGAAAAACTAATGTTGTTTCTCACCTCGTACTTGTAATTCATGACCCATAAAACAAAAGTAAAATGTTCTCTGACTACAAATGGATATACAGCTACACATTTCTGTCATCCTCCCATTTCCATGCCAAAGAAAGAGGTAAGAGGCCAATACAATGTGAAGCCAGAGGTGAAAGTTACTTGAAAACCAACTTTCAAGTTTGAGAGAGACTTTAAATTCAAATACCATCTTTGATATTTGCTGTTTGTGAGCTCCTGGAAGCATATTTCACCTCTCTGGATCTTCATTTCCTGGTTGATAAATGGAGGAAATAGCTGCAAAATGGTTTAGATGATATAATGTGTTAAATTAAGAGCTTAGCTTAGTGCCAGCAACATTGTGGGTATTTAGAAAAACATTAGTACTGAACTCTTTTCCTGCCTTTCTATTCCTCAAATTATTCTTGGTGAGCCTTAACTGTGGTTTCATTCTAGGCTCTCCTATTTGACCTACTTCAGCTTTCTACAGTCCCCCCCGCCTTTTTTTTAGATGGGGTCTCGATCTTTGGCCCAGACTGGAATGCAGTGGCATGATCTCAGCTCACTTCAGCCTCTGACTCCCAGGTTCAAGCAATTCTGTCTCAACCTCCGAAGTAGCTGGGACTACAGGTGTGCACAACCACACCTGCCTAATTTTTGAATTTTTAATAGAGATGGGGTTTCACTATATTTGCCAGGCTGGTCTTGAACTCCTGACCTCATGATCTGCCCGCCTCGGCCTCCCAAAGTGCTGGTGGGATTACAGGCATGAGCCACCACGCCCGGCCAACCCCTCATTCCTTTATTATTATTTTTTATAGACATGGGGTCTCACTATGTTGCCCAGACTGGTCTTGAACTCCTAGGCTCAAGCAATTCTTCTTCTGCCTTCCAAAGTGCTGCAATGATGTGAGCCACTTTGCCTGGCCCTTTCAGTCTTTTAGATTGACTTAGTCAGTGCTCCTGAATATATCCCAGACATTCACATTTAATGCAACTTCTTTTCTGAATCTCAAGCCATAATTACAATCACTGGTCATGGAGTAATGATTCCCAACACCAGATTAAGAGACATAAGATCCAGTTTCACAAATAAGCTGTGGCACCAATCAATTGAATAACATTAGATAAACCTCAGCTTTCTATCTTACGTGAGCTGTCTGGATCAGAAGATGACATCCTTTCACCCATCCCTTTCAGGTTTTGACATCCTGAAATATACCTTATAGAACCCATACCTGTTATGTTTTCACCTGTGCAAGACAACAGAGAAAACGTGATAGTTTTTACTTGTGTAGATGTGAGTTAGCTGTATATTGTTGCTGATGTCCATCCCACAGCACAAAATGTATGTTTGTATGTCTGAGAGACAAAGTATCCAGAGCAAGGATTTAGTACCTTCATAGTGAAACTTTGGTAAATAAACTCTTTACAATCTTAACTATTGAGAAACTAAAAAAAAAGTTTATATATGTTTTATCTATCAATATTAACCACATTAGACATTAAAGCTGACTTAAAAAGTTTTAAAATACTAATCATTTAAAGTAATAAGTGCAGTTACATACCAACTTAGTAACATTTTGTGAAAATAGCTATTTTTCAAAACCAAAAGTGAGAATAGTAGCACTGTTTTCCACGTTCACAAATCTCTCTGCTGTCTAGCTGATAGAAAACAGCTGGATTCTCCTATTTGCTTTGCATTCAATTGTTCTTTTGATTGAGGTATAAAAAAAAACCTAGTGTCACACGCAAATGTAATTGGGAAATGAAAGAGTATTTGTAGGTTTTTAAAGATATTCCTCCTTTATACTACATCAAAACTTGGTTAAGTTGTAATGTTGTGAATTGGCCCAGGGCTTGGCCCTCTGAAGATTTGCTGAAAATCACTGACATGAAGTAGATTAATAGGAGACAGGGAATATACATTTATTTAATGTGTATACCCAGGGCCCTTTAGAATGAAGACCAAAAGATACAGAAGAAACTGTTTTTATGCTTAAGTTTAACAAAGAATGGGCAGCCATGTAGATACAGGATAGAACAGAAAGGGCATCATCTATTGCTGGCAGATTGGAGTTAGCTTGGTGTACAGCAGACATCTATACTGTGTCCTTTCTATTTCTTCACACAGAATATTAAAAAGCCAAACACTCAAGGATTAAAATTTAATAAAATTAAAACTATTGGCGGGGTGCAGTGGCTCACGCCTGTAATCCCAGCACTTTGGGAAGCTGAGGCAGGTGGATCATGAGGTCAGGAGTTTGAGACCAGGCTGACCAACATGGTGAAACCCCGTCTCTACTAAAAATACAAAAATTAGCCAGGCATGGTATCATGTGCCTGTAATTCCAGCTATTCAGGAGGCTGAGGCAGGAGGATCGCTTGAACCCAGGAGGCGGAGGTTGCAGTGAACTGAGATCGTGCCATTGCACTCTAGCCTGGGCAACAGAGCAAAACTGTGTCTCAAAAA